CAACGGTGGTATTTGAGAGAGCTCCATGCAGAGTGGAATTAGATTCGGGAAAGCGGTAGATGTTGATGGGAAAAACTTTTCCCACGCCTCCACCAATGTAGAAGACGTACCAGAAGTGTCAGGAAATCAATAAAAGCTCAAAAGCAACGAATGAAATAGTCAGTAGAAGCAGGTAGGCACAACGGAACTACATTGAATAACTCGTGTGGAGGAGTCGAAAAAGAGGTCCAACACAATCGGAGTAAGGCACCACCCAGTGACATTCATCGGTTGAGGTATTGTTTTGGAGGCTGAAGGTGTGGGAGATAGATTTCTTCATGTTGAATCGCTACACCAACCTGAGGATGTGCGAATGTTGTGGGTGTGTGTGTGTGTTGGCAAAGGCAAATGATGGGCGCTGGTGGAACAGACGCCACCACATTATTGATAGCTGACAACACACAACTCGGCTGTACAAGAGTCTTATACAACCGGCTAACAACTTCTGCTAATCGGCAGCTTTTGCTGGTGCCTATCACAAACTGGTACCCAGACACCGGCTCCCAAAGTGCAGCTGAATGCAGGTGTCATGGATCAGTAGAAACGTTGGCGATGGTGTTGTTGGGATTGCTCAAATTCCTTATTAAATCGTCCACCCATTCGAGTTCCATTCTGCAATCGCAGAAGAGTCGTTTGAATAATTATTCCTGAAAAAATTGGAGGCCAAGTTTTAACGATCGAAGGTTCCATCGTTTTTGGTGATTACGGTACCGACCTTCCATTTGGAAACAGTAGATGAAAGCCTTTCTGGACTTCGACTATTACCAGTTGGGATGAATCGTGAATTCAGCAGGTATACCACAACCATTTGAATATACAATAAATAACTATTCCACACATAGCAAGACAAGGTTCATTGTTAGAGAGGAGCAAGGTTCGTTCTGATCCCATTCTTGAACTGAGAAATCCATCAGTGTAAGGATGCCAAAACAGAATTTTTCGGATTCGTGAGGTCTTGTTGTGAAATGTGCCCTAGCAGTCGATTCCCATTCAGGATCGTAATCGCGTTTGGAGTAGCCAGGTGATGAGCTGCAGACTAGTAGATTCGAAACCATGCCCCTGCTTATCAAAGCGAGTTTCTATCAATCGCTCGAGTGCTCGGAGGGGTTTACTTGCTCTACTCAAGAAAGACTTGATCAAAGATTCTATCTGTCGACTATGTGGTGCATAATGACAACACTCACCCCCGGCCGTCAAACTATACTTCAGATGCTACCATCAAACAGATAGAAAGAGAAAAAAGAATTTATGGAGTTATAATTATATAAACGGGAAGGCGACGAGACCATTGAAGTACAGAAGAACACTTCAGAAGAGGGACAGCAAAAGCTTAACCACTTCGTTGGGTTGGCTAAGTTTTTAGAACCCTGGCCGCCAACTGGTCTAATGCGTTCTGGACCTTTTTCTCCGAAATGGCAATTCTTGATTACACACTACAAAATTGCAGTAAAGAAGTAATATTCAAGAAGAATGAAGTTTAAAAATCAAGATTGAATACATTTAATTGTCGCTTGCGTATTTTCGAGGCGACTATTAGCAGGAAAACCATGAGTGAAACAGCCTTGCCTAGTATCTAATCGTAAAGACGGTATGACTCCGGCACGACCGTCAGTCCTGGCGCAAAATTGCTATGGCACCACTGCCCTCATCCCACGTTGTCCATTCCCTGTTCATTCCTTTATCGTGTCCCATATGAGACGGCTTTTTAGGTTGGTTCAGTATCTCTCCTATTACACTACATATTTGATTATACTATCACAATGTTACGCGGACTCGGAATCTGTCTTCCATGGGAACCCATTGATCACATAAAACTTCGATTGAGCCACTACGATCATATTATTATTATCTGAGAAGCGCCAATGCAGCAAATAGTCTTGCAGTAACCCGGAACCATTACAAACCGCCTCTAATTAAATCACGTTAATTTCTTAGAAACAGTCTCTGAGCCAGTAAATCACCAACCTAACGAGGCTGCAAATTACCGGATGGACACCTGTTGCGCTTTATCTTATGCCTAAACCTTTTTTGAACTTTCTGAAATATCATTGACAAGTCGTGACTTCTATTGCGAACAGAGAAAGGCTGAGTCCTGAGATATTCGAGAAGAATCAAGTGTAAGCAAGACATGCCTCATCGATGCCTGAACAAATGAAGATGAGACATGCAGTGGCAGGATCTGCAATCGAATTTGCATTTTTCTTTTCAGTTTTTGATTCGGTTTTGATTTTCTTTGTCCTCAGCGTTACTTAGGGAAGGCTGTGATTCGTCGGCACCATATGGGGCTACTGTGGCAATGGCGGACCGCGCAGAAGTGATGGCCGTTGAGATTGATTGGGATCTGCAGCACTAGGTGTTATTCACGGTGGCGCCGACGAGCACTGTTTTGATTGGTTTTTGACTTTTCTGATCTCGCATCCGATGTCTTCAACTGCTCTCTTGGATGCATTATGTTAGCATCAGTTGGGTCGCCCCGTTTACGCCGTACCTCATTCTTTACTTTTATTAAGTAGTTAGAAAGTGTAGTGAGTGTAGTAAGGGGGGGGGGGGGGGGGGGGGGGGNGGGGGTGGAGACAGATTTTATCCAACACTGAGGGCTAGATTGCAGAGGAGGGGTAGCCGACCTGACCTATACTTAGAAACGCTTTTAGGCGAAAGATTATGGTTTCAAGCCAAGCCCCAGTAGAGGAGGAGCGTTATGGTGGGGGCGGGATAATTACCTCGTGTAAAAAGCTAGGATGGGGTATGAGTCGAATAATCAATTGACTCACCCACTCGGGAACCCCTTCCCTCCTAAAGCTCAGATCAAATCACTACATGTTCTCGGCTAAGAAACGTAAATGAGCGTAGTTATGGGCTAACGTCCTCATGTGGAAACCAGTCGGTTCACCCGGCTAAGGCCGGGCTTCCCTCCTCTTTCGACAAGGTTGTAGTAATTGGTTAATTCTCTACTCCTTTTCAAAACAAGTAATATTTTCCTGTACACGAAGTTTGACACAGGACTCACACGGCAGCGCAAATGCAATGTGTTAGTCGGTGCTTACGCCTTTCATTGGGAGTCTTGATCTTTTGCTCTTCAACTTAGAAAAGATAACCTATCAGAGATTTAGCTGTTAGACAAACAAAGCCACGAATGGTACTCACAAATGTTTCCGAGTGGTGATAGATGGATACTCGTGGCAGGTGGCAGGGCCAGACTCCGCCTACAGGAGGCGGGGCTCGCATGATACAGATTTTCGACGGCAAATTCACGACTACGCTTTTCGTATTAACCGGTTGAACCTCGGCATTTTGGTATGTCTTGCAGGATATGACAGTATTGTAGGTACACGGCGACAGGAACCGATGACAACTGATATGAGAAGATAAGGAGCCTGAGGGAGCAAGAGCCATCTAGCGATCGAACCCTAACCCTTTGGTACTTACNCGCTTTTCGTATTAACCGGTTGAACCTCGGCATTTTGGTATGTCTTGCAGGATATGACGATATTGTAGGTACTCGGCGACAGGAACCGATGACAACTGATATGAGAAGATAAGGAGCCTGAGGGAGCAAGAGCCATCTAGCGATCGAACCCTAACCCTTTGGTACTTACGATATAGCTTCCACTGTTCAGTATGTTTCATTCGATGAGACGGGATGGTATAGTAGGGCGACAAAAGTGAATGGTAAGGGCAGTGATAGGGACCCTTCAGTGGCACTACGATGTGCAGATGAAAATTTTGTTCATTCCTCGCTATTAGATTAGACCGCTACCAGGAGTTATGAATTTGCGACATAAAATCCCTATCGCAAACGCTCCGCCCCTGTGGATGGAGTCCGCTTTTGCCACCCACCATAAGTGTTCACATCCTGCCCATCGTACTCCAACCAAATTTGAACTCACTAGGTCCACTGGAACAGGAGTTATGAATTTCCGGTCAAACATACCACATACACACCGACAAAATGACAAAGACGACGCACCAATTTTCTTCTTTATAAATGAGATGGATTGTTTCACGACTTCGATACACATTCACTATTCCACCATTTGTAGAGAGAGCGTGTGGAAAGTGAAGTTAGAGTGGGGTGTTAGAGTGGGGT